GTGTCTGGCATGAATGGATCTGGGATGAATGTTTCTGGTATGAATGTATCTGGCAGGAATGTATCTGGCGTCCACTATATATTTTTTACCAACGTTTTTACCTAAATTTATCTATAAAACAATAAAAATAATTTGGCACTGCAAAAAGTCTTTTTCGTTTTAAAATTAATTTTTAATAAAATTTCATGAATAAATATTAAAATACAAACAAAATTAAGTATGTTAATTCCAGTGAATTCCCGTCGTATAAATTACGTATATTCGGAATTCATAATTCAAATCCAATATACATAGTTATAAGTTGGAACCATTCTAGTTTTGCGACTAGAATGATTTTGCGACACTAACACTGATGTTACCCAGTGGTTCTATATTAGTTGTTTTTGCAATTATACTTTTGAGTGTTCAGAACATGAGTACATTAAAATTTTAAAATCAAAATCTTTCTCAGTGCTCTCCATTCCTGGGATAGTAGTTCGCAGCCATACGTCAGAAGTGATCTAATCACTTTCCTGAAGCAGCTTACCGAATAAGCATTATAATGGTGCCAAACCTTAAAACTGATACATTGTGAATCATTTTTGAAAGAAAATGGAAAATTTTAGTCAGACGACAGAGCAATTTGTTTATTATTTATAGCCGTTGCGAGTGTTATAAAATATATATAGTTAAAAAATACACTAAATAATTCATTTTTAAATTGCGTTGTAAAATGTTTAGTTATTTATAAAAGTTTGTCATCAATTTTATATGATTAAATTAATTAATAATTATTAGAACTTTAACATGTATATAATTATATATATTTAAATATAAAATGTAATCAATTATTAAACAAGATGGTATTTATTAATATATGTCATATCATTGCCACTATAGGGCATAATACTGTCTACACTACCAAACATATCAATATCACTTACACTAACTACAACTATGGTTGCGCTACAACCAGTGCTTACTCTTCTCATAATACCCAAAAGTCATAGTTTTGTATGAGGTCAGTACAAAATTTCGTTAAAAATCAAATTTGGAAAAAATAATGCATTAAACGCACACAAAGCCAATCATATACTTTACAAAAAATATACAAAAACAAAAACTATGCATCTGCTTCGTAAATATTGCCTCACATACCCCTTCATACAAAATCATTTAGTGAGTGAATAAGAATAAATAAATAATAAATAAATAAGAATGAATAATAGAAGGTGTTAATAGGTGTTTCTCCGTTCACTCATCACCAAAGAGGTTCTTTTCGTCTGTGTATGGGTGTGCTTCAATAAGATATACATGCTTTATTTGAAATAATTTAAACAAAATCTATTGTGTTGGTAGACTAAGGCAAATTATTGGTGCGAACCTCGAGACTGTTCACTTTGACAAAAACTCTAAAAATTTAAGAACGACTTCAAATATCTTATAGCATTTATTATTTTTGCTAAATGGCATGACATGTTATGTAGTAAAGAAGATAAAGAAAAGAAAGTGATAAGGCAAGGAAACAACATTATTGCCTCCAGTTTGACTAACGATATAAAACTCAAGGTCCGTGCGATGTCCCCACGGAAGAAGGG